AGAAACCGAGAGAGCTTCGCTCTTAGCCTGGACACATGGGGGAGGGCCTAGGCCCTGCCCAGAATGATATAACAGACTTTGGGGATCCCCCATAGAGGGCCTTACCCTCCTTGGGGAGTAGGTGTGGATGGGGTGGGGGACTGGCAGGGGGTTGGGGAGGAGGGGAGGCACGGGGAGAAGGGATTGATATGTAAAGTAGGCTTGTTTCAAATTTGAAATAATAAAAATGTTATAGAAAAAAAGAATTAAAAGAAACTATTATGGATGACCAGTTCATATTTTTATTAAACAATACCAATTGGGCAAATCTTCTAGTAACAAGATGTTTCATTTGCAACCTAATTATCATTTTACAGTATTTTCAAGTTTTCAAAATGCTTGTAGTGATGCTTTGTTTTATAATATATCAAGTCATTTTTGTTTAGTAAAATTCCTCATTATTATTCTGATTTTCCTGTACTCTGAGGCTCTGTCTCTCTAGGTTTCAACTTTAACATTACCTCCTCTGAGGTCTTTTTGTTTGCTTATTTTAATTATCAGCTCCTGTTCATCCAACCAAAATTAGTCCTCTACAATAAAATCTTCCCTGGGATTCACTAGTACTTTTCAGCAGATGGCACTGTTATTTAGGCTAAACAATTTGTCACCAGGGCAAAGTAATTATTCTTGTAAGATTTTTTTCCAGAACAATAAGATGTCTGTGTGTATAAAATTAGCACCGACTTTTTCTGAAAGTGGAGATTGAAGTAAAGAAATTTCTCTGTGAAGATGAATACACTAAAATCACAGAAATATCTAAAACATCCCAAAATATACAAGTGAAATAAAATGTTCAGTTTTCATTTTATATATATTCTTATTTTGCAAAATGAACCTTAATACTCAAGCACTTCTAAATAAATCTTTTTAAATCCTGTTCATTTGCTGTTAGAGTTAAAAATATTCTCTCATTATCACTAAGTTCATAAGAACAGAAAATTGGCTTTATATATTTTGTATGCTCAAATAAATGTCTTTCATTTACCTAGATTTTGTAAGTGAAGAATAGAAATCAGATTTCTATTTGAGTAGGGGGTTGGAGTAGGGTGAGTGCCTAAATCAATTAACACCTAAGCAATTACTTTTTCTCCAAGCAGAATTATGCCTTTTTGGGTTTCAGCTACATTTACAAAATACATTAAGATGGTCCTGAAAATGTAGTATTATAACGAGAAGTGATAGTGTGCATAATTATTATTTATTGACTAGCTAGCTCTACTAAATAAGAGAAGAGAAATTGAAGAAATATAATAAAAAGAAATACACTGGACTAAAGATATAGCTTAGTAGTATAATGATTGCTTAGCATGCACAAGATATTAGGTTCAATTTGCAGCACCTCAAAGCATAGTAAAACATATTCTATTTTCTAAGAATAAAAATATTTTATACATATACTTTTTGTGTCTGCCTTACCTCCCTGCAGAACACCAATGATGTCTTTGTAGGGCTTTATTTCTATGACAACTGAATCCATCTCCAACTAAGTCTGAATGTGATTCCAATTCATTGTGTTACTAAATGAAGGATTTTCATGATTGTAGAATCCAACTCTGTGTGTGTGTGTGTGTGTGTGTGTGTGTGTGTGTGTGTGTGTG